CACAGGTCACTCGACAAGATCACTCGAGGTACGAGTTCGAGTATGAAGTGATGCAGAGAAGAAATTAAGCGTTACTCGACACGCTCACTCGACCGACATGGCCATTACAACTTTTAAACCGCTTTTACGTTGTCGTTTTATGTTTTAAGATTTTCCCAAACATTGTTATAAATAGGTCTCATTTGAATTGCCGAAGGGATCAAGTTTTATTTTATTAGGTTTTTGTTGTTAGCCACCAAACGATCCTGAGAATTGTAATCGTGATTTCTTTTGAGTCATTGATATTTTGCAGTTAGTTCTTGAATCATTGTTGTTACTCTTCCTGTCATCTTTATTATTATGCATGTTTTGAACGATTCTTGTTTCATGATGTTTAACATGATTTCTGCGTCTGAGTAGTGTTAGGGTTCTTGAGGATGGGATAGATTAGGTGGAGGATGTTAGTTTGCTAGAGTGTTTATGTTAGATTCGTTTTGTTTCCCTTCTGGACTAGAGTTTTATTAGCTAGTTCTTCTCTGATCAATTGGAACTAGGTCATAGACATTTCATACCCGAAAGGTATATGATGAAATGTCTGAACCAACTAGTGCCAGAGATTTACATGCTTAGCCCAAGAGATTGGTTGTCTAAGATGTTTATTGACATTAATGAGCTGTTTCTTTATGCCTGTTTACTGCATGTTTCATCAATGAGAATTGAGATTAGGAAGTGTTGTAAACTTGATAGTTTCTGCCAAGAGATTGGATTGACTAGTATTAGAAGTTCATTGTCTAGGGATTAGAATGTTTGCAGTTTGATAAACACTCGAAGTAGATTAGCATACTCCACCTACATCAATAACCTCATCCTCGGGATCTTCTATCCATTTGTGCTTTCTGTTTAATTCTCTTGCTATTTACTTGGTCTGCTTTCTTTTCTCGCTAGTATCAATAATCGTTACGTTTTAGTTTATGTATGGTAGTCTATGTTTTACAGCTTTACATTTATCGCATGTTTAACATGTTTGCTTAGGATCACTGAAAACCAAAAATCATTTATGCTTGCTTGACTTAATCATTTCTGATATATCTTGATTGCTAGCATCACACCTGATTGGATTGATACCTATTGTACTGCAATGACATGATAGTACTCTAGGGTAATTGATAGAAAAATCCTAGTATCAATTTGGCGCCGCTGCCACTTTTGATCTCCTTCTTTTGTTAAGAACATAATTGATCCCTTTCCTTTAATGTCGATGCGAGAATCATCGCCAAACCGTACTTTCCCGGTAATCATTGGATCAAGCTTGTGGAACCAATCATAATGTCCTGTCATATGGTTACTTGCACCATTGTCAAGATACCATATATTCTCCATGTCCAAGCAATCTTCATACTATTGTGGTCTAACATTCTTCTCATTAAGATAAACCACCTCATGCATCATAAGAGATTCAGCTTCTTGGGTGTCATCTTCTTCATTCTCTTGAGCATCGTGGCCAAGCTTGTCGCATCGATAACATGTGACATTTGATTTATATCTTTGTTGGTAGTTTCCACGACCTCTTCCTCTTCCTCGTCCTCGGTTCCATCCTCTTCCTCTGCCTCCTCCGCCTTGAGTGAGTTCCTGGGATTGAGAATCCGAGTTGACATACATAAGCTTGTTTGGGCCTTCTTGTTGTTCTTCTTCTTCATGGACTCGTTCCTTATATCTTTTTATTCTTCCAATAATATCTTTGAACGTTGTAGTCTTCAGATCAAGTACTTGCTCAAGTGTGGCTGAGATGTGAATATATTTCTTTCTTGGGAGACTTTAAAGAAATTTCTTCGCAAGTTTGATTTCCTCAATGGTTTCACCCAAAGCAGCAGACTTGGTAGATATTTCTGCAAGTTTCCCAACAAAATCATCTATGGAATCACTTTCCTTCAACTTCAACCTATCGAATTCCGACATAAGAGTTTGAAGTTTTGCTTCCTTCACACGATCCGCTCCGAGATTTCTTGTCTTGATGGATTCCCAAATAGGTTTAGAAGAAGTTAGGTTACCAATTTGTAGAATCATTGATTATGAGATGGATTGAAACAAGAGTGCTCTCGCCAAGTGGTTCTTGTCTACATCGTCAGATCCTGGGTCAATAACATCCTAGACTTTATGAACTTGGAGAGCGACTTGCATCCTCATCGACCAGACTGCGTAATTAGTTTGTGTTAGCAACAGACATTGTATGGATGAAGGAACACTTTCCTTCGGTTTGTTCGCTGCTTCAACTAATTCGGACATCTTGCCAATGATCTTCGTGATGGTGTTTTGTGTTTGATTTCAAACCTTTAAAGCTCTGATACCAAATCTAGAATTTAGAAAGAAAGACTCAAGATTATAAAAGCACTTCTTTTATTAGCTTTGAAAATTACTCAAAACAAAGCTTTTTAAAACCTTTCTCTCTAATCTCTTAAGGTTAACCACATCATTGGTAACTCATATATATAGAGAGAAATTAAAACCTATTACAAGTAGAACTTGTAACTAGATAACACCAAACACCAACTATTCCTAATCCTAACTTGACTTGGAATAGATAACTTGCTTCTCAAGCTTTCTTCTTCAAGCTTATCCCAACAGAGGGTGTGAGAGTGAGTGTGTGTGTAATAAAGAGAGTGAAATAACTAAAATGGGTAAATTGGGTAACAAGAAAGAAAGACTCTTTCTCTAGAATATGGTTACAACTTGGGCCTAATAACAGAAGTTTTTGCTGAATAGAAGGCGAAGCTAATAATCGCCTACCCTAGTAAAATACTAGTATTGATATTTGAACTGCATAATGGGTGTACCAATCCATTAACAAGAACATAATCGAATATACGAATTATATATGAACCCTATTTATCGTGTTGTAATATGTATCCCACATCTGGGGGACGAATTCGATAATAAGGGCTTAGAGTTACGATTCACGGATTCTGTATTGGGGGTTCAAATTAGATAATGGGGGCTAAGAGTTATGATTCACGGATTCTGTATTAGGGGTTTGAATTGTAATATGTATCATACATCTTGGGGACAAATTCTGTATTGTGGGTTCGTAATGAATAAGAATTGTATCATATATCTGGAGTACGCAGCTGATAATAGGCTACACTACTAAATGGGTGTACCAATCACATCAAAGTACTCTGTTTGAAGAGTACGTATCTACGAATTAGAAAAATAATTTTGTTATTAAACCCTAAACTATTAATCCTAAACCCAAACCGACTTATAAAATTGGTTCAATTATTAAATCTAAACACAAAGGTGCATATATAAACCCAAATTGATCTATAACCAAATTGATATTAAACTCTAATCCCCAAATCCTAAACACTAAACCCTAATCCCTAATCGCTAACAACTAGACCCTTTTCGCAAACCAACATATAATATCGTTTCAGTTGTAAAATTTATACCCTAACTAGTGATTTATAAACCCAAAACAATATTTAATTTTGTTTTAATAGAAAAATCTTAAGCCTAATCAATAAATTATAAACCCAAACCTACATATATTTTTATTTAAATTATAAAATCTAAACCCTAAGCCTTATTTATTATAAACCGAAACGGATATACAATTTTGGTTTAATAAAAAAGTCTAAAACATAATCCGCATTAAAGTACGAGTATCTGAAACACATGATATGCTACATAAGTTGTTTTGTATCCATATAAGCAGACTAATCACAACAAAAACACTATATGCTTAAAGTAGTATCGTGTATAAACTGGAATTGTAACTTTTTGGGTTGCTAGTGGAAAAAGAGACACACAAAACATGGTATATCCAATAACAGGGGTTGCAAATATTGAATTTGCATATGAACTCCTTAGACTGAATATGAATAACAAAACTGGAATACGAACTCTGTAAACAGAATACAAACACTGTGAAAGGAAAAAGAACCCAATCTTTAGAGTACAAATAATAGAAATGAAGTTGCCTTGTATCCATATAAACAGAATAGCGTAACCAAACACTAAATATCAAACACTAGAAGAGAAGTACATATTTTAGTGTTTATTAAACAAGTCTAGATATCACAACATAGATAAAAAAAAATGTTCATATTAAACTAAGAACGAACACCGAAGAATAATACGAACACTAGAAGAGGAATATAAACACAAGAATGAGAGATCGAACACTAGAAGAGGAGTACAAACAACAACCAAAAACAGAGGAAAAACCTGCTAAAAATGTGTGAACACTAAACATGGAGTACGAACGTATTAAATAAGAAAAAAGTAAATCTGTATAGATTTAGAAAATATATCAAAATTGATCTCTATAGATTGAAAAAATGTTCTTCAAATTAATATCATACTTTATAAGATTGGAAGAAAAGAAGAAAGAGAAAGCAAAAATTAATAGCATACTAAAAAAATATAGCATAACTATAATTCGGCAAAATTGCTGAGGGTAGAGAAGGAGAGCAATAGTTAGTGAACGTATGCATTTGTTGTGTTTCCCCAATTGTAAATAGTAAATGGACCAAACCACATATTACTTTTGAAAAAACTTTCCAAACCACAAATTAAACTTTAGAAGAGGAGCATTTGAGAAAAAAATTTGAGCCGACTAGAATTTATACGATTCAAACCTAGTTTGTAACAATAATTTTTACGATGTTATTTAGATTCTCTCTGCATACGTGGATTCCACATTATCAAAACTTCACATATTGACACAAAAAAATAATTTCATATTTAAAATTAAAATTTATGAAAAATGCGTATATAATTTAGTATCCATATAAATTTAATATGTTATATTTATACGGTACGAGAAAGCTGATTTTCATCTTTCTTTTTTTTTAACAAAAGCCGATTTTCATCATTTTTCTTCTAGATTTTGCCAAGGTGTCACTCCGGTTCGATCTCTTCTCGTATTGATCGAACCTCTATTCAAAACCGGTTTAAGGCAGAACCGGCTGCAAAACCATAATCACTAATTTATTACTTTATCCTAAAAATCCACATTTCCACCGGGAAAAAAAACGATCTCCCTCCAAATAATATTTCTCCACAGTTCTTTATCGTCTTCTTCCCCAAATCTTCACCACATAAACCCTAACCGATCAACTTCACCACAAATCATCATATCCTTCAATTAATCATGGCTTCCATTTCCACCTTACTTGAATTAACTCCGCTTCAATGGAATCAACCACTTCCACTATACATGCAAAGACCCCGTAATCGCAGTGTTCTTCTCTACTCCAAACCTCAACGTAAATCAAACGCGATTCGTCTCCAAATCTCCGTCAAATCGACGAGTTCGGATTCCGATTTGAGATCCGATTCGAATCCGTTTGAACAAATCGTGGTTCATGTCAAGAAAGCGTTAGATTCTTTGAAGAAACCTGCAATAGCTGCGGTTTTGCTTGGTTTGCTTTTGTTCTATGATCCTAATACGGCTTTAGCTGCTTCTGGTGGTAGAATTGGTGGTAACTCGTTCTCCTCTAGGTCTCGAAGCTCTTCTTCTTCTTCGCAATCGTATTCTGTGCCGCGAACTTCGAATCCGAGCTTTTCGTATTCGGCTAGGACTGCTCCGTATTATGGACCGTCACCGTTCGGTGGAGGTTTTATGGGTCCGGCGGTTGGTTTTGGGTTTGGTGGGTTTTCGAGTTTTTCTTTGATTCTGGTTGGTTTCGCTGCGTTTGTTTTGGTTTCTGGGTTCCTCTCAGATCAGTCACAGGACGGTAGCGTTTTAACTGATACTCAGAAAACTAGCGTCATTAAGCTACAGGTGAAGCATTTAGCTTTAGAAGTTACGATTTCGTTATAGCTTTTGTTTTGTTCTATGAATACTATATATTCATTGGTATATCATGAGGTAAGAACATGAGATTGAGATGTTCTCTAATAGAACTATAGAAGTTACGATTTCTCATAGCTTTGTTATAGTCTGTGATTGCTATTTATTTGTTGGTATTACATTTGGTAAGAACATGAGAATGGGAATGTGCTCTTATAGAACTATAGAAGTAACGATTTCTCCATAACTTTGTTATGTTCTGTGAATGCTATTTATTCATGTGTATAGTTACATATGGTCAGAACATGAGATTGAGAATTTGCTTGTATTTAGGTGGGATTATTGGGTTTGGGGAGGACTCTACAACAAGATTTTAATCGTCTTGCTGAAAGTGCAGATACATCCACACCAGAGGGTCTGAGCTATGTTTTAACTGGTAAATTATTCTTCGATGAGTCTTCTCTCTTTTACTCCATTATATGTCTTTGTGTGTGTTTAAGAGTTTTTTCTTTTGTTCCTAGAATGAAGATGTTGTGTGTGTGTTTTTTAGCTTTGATCGTATTACTTTTGGCACGATCTTGTTTTGTGTGGTTCTGCCGAATGTGTTCTTGAACTCTGATGAAATGGAAAACTGGGAGATAGTCTTTCAATTAGTTATATGGATTTAGTAATATATTTAGGATTTATGAAATTCGGGTGTTGTTATATTTGCTGGAAAATTGTTGATCTCCTAACCGGTATAAAATACTGATATTGCATACCAAAACCTTTATTTCAGGTTCAATATTGTGTACTCAATTAAGATAGGTTTAGGATTAAGTATATTATTTCTAACCTGCTTTACATCATTGATGCTACTCTGTTTACTTGTGATATGTGTGGTTCTGCTTTAATTCATGCAACTCAGTTTTCTGTGTCTTACAGAGGCAACATTGGCTTTGCTGAGGCATCCTGATTATTGCATATCCTGTTATTCATCAGTAAGTCTACTGGGTCTTTAATGAGTGATGCTCATCCTCTGTTTATTCACCATTTTACCCTGGTTCATTCATTACCTGGGTTAGTAACACTAGGATCATTTAGTGATCATAGATTCACAACACCTAACCACTTTGTATGTATCATGTACTTTCAGGTGGATGTGAAGCCGAGTATAGAAAAGGGAGAGAAGCGATTTAATCAACTCTCCATTGAAGAACGAGGAAAATTTGATGAGGAGACACTTGTTAATGTGAATAGCATAAAGAGACAAAGCTCGAAGATTAAGAAAGCTAGCGGGTTCAGCAATGAATATATTGTGGTAAACTTATCAAAACTCTGAGTTGAACGTTTAGTTTGATAGGGAAAACACAGTTAAACCGGGTCTAGAAGGCTATTCCCTTAATTGAAAGTGCATGTGTACTTTTACATATAGAGCAGTCTCACCCAGAGCTAAAGGGCTGTGTCAAATTGTTTGTGCGGGTGGGTAATACTAGGTTGTTGCACTTTGGTTTGGTAATAGTTTAACAGGAAGTGTTGTAACATGTTCAGGTAACCATCTTGGTGGCTGCAGAAGGTATACATAAACTGCCACCGATAAACGGAACAATAGATCTGAAGGAAGCCTTACAGAAACTCGGATCGATTCCGAGAAACAAAATGATGGTAAGAGATTTTGTATCCATAAGTTGGCTTACTCATGGGAAAAGGTTTAGTTAAGTAAATGAAAGGATGTAAAACCAAAATTTTGCAGGCAGTAGAAGTACTGTGGACACCGCAGAACGAGGCAGACGCTTTAACAGAGAGGGAACTACTTGAAGATTACCCACTTTTGAGGCCTTTGTAAATTTTTTTCTTATAATTGTATAATACCAAATAGAACCAATCTCTTGTTAGATGTTACTCTGTAAAGTGTAAACACACCATACCTTTGTTTTGTATACATCAAACATTCAAACCTCTATGACCGGTTTATGTAAACCGGAAATGAAGGCAGTTAAGAATCTTAGCGACAAGAGTTCAACGTTGATGCCATTTAATGATGACATTTAATTTTTAGGCTCATTTAAAAACAAAACCAAACACCTTAAACTTAAATATATTTTTAGATGATACTTCATATGTATTCATTGAAAGAATACACGGCGCAATGTCGTTTTCTAATACGATTATGCAAAAAAAAAAATGTTTATTAGATATAATTATAAATTATTACATTAGTAATGTAATATTATATTTTGTTCTTTCTGCAAAACATATCCAATCAACATTTATTTTTTAAATAACTTTATTCAGTGATTTTATTTTGAAAATTCTTATTCTTATAAGTTTTTCTTGTGCAATTTAAGTCGTTATGCTATTATGCATTGTTACCAATCAGAGTCTTTATTTTAATGAGTCAAAAAATGAAAACATCTTTCAAAATTCGCCTGTCATGAGATCAAACAAATTCCATCCCTGATATGCCTTATTGCCTATATCTAGAATGCATGTTATTGATATAAATTAAATTGATTTCTTTTCTAAAAATAGAAAAATATTAAACTAGATTAAAAACTACATTCCACAACTTAAAACATTTGTATTAAAAATAATTAATTAGAAAATGAAAATCCATTGTGAGAGTTCATAAATTATTCTTAAACTATAAAATTAAGGGAAAATTAAAAACAAAGTATATATATTTTATAAAGTTTATCCAAAAATAACTATTAGTACAAAAACTACCAATAACAAATAGTGGTTATGCAAACAAATCTATAAATGTGAAGACATGTCATATTCATCACAAAATAACACATCTAAAGCATTCTCATATGTCTCATATCCAAACATGAAAAAAAATTAAACTAAAACAAAAACAAAAACCCAAAAAAGAAACTATATTATATATTATTAAAAAACGAGCTCTTGCACCAAGTCGAACATTTTTATTCTACGACGCAAAACATGCACGCAACATATTACGTTATCGAATCTTATAAATACCAAAACAGTAAAGAGAACCCAAAATAAAAAAAAACTTCAAACACACAACAAAAGAAAATAAAGAGACTTTTTATTTTTCTTCAAATCCAGATCTGAAACTTCTTCGTCTACATTCACAAAATCCAAAAATGATCGAAACAGTACTAACAAGCAAAACTCTAATCGGATTCATCTCCGATACAAAACCATTCAAATCAATCACAGACGAATATTTCCAAATCCTAGATCTAGACAAAAACGGAACATTATCTCCATCGGAGCTCCGGCAAGGTCTGAACAACGTCGTCGCCGTCGAATCCGAAGTCGCGCCGGGAGAAGAGACGGATGACGTTTACAATGCGATTTTCGAGAGGTTTGGTGAAGATTTGGGACCGGAGAAGTTTAGGGATTTGGTTGCGGAGATATTGACGGCGATGGCGAGAGGTATCGGAAACTCGCCGGTGATAATGGTTGTTCATAATGATGGGTTGATTATGAAAGCTGTTCTTCATGAATCTAATCAAGGCAAGTGATGATGATTATAATAAATCAAAAATTTAGGGATTTTATTTTTTTATTATTCGAATTTTATGCCGTTGTTTATTGATTTATTTATGATTTTTTTTTTTAATGATTATTCATAACGTTTTTCATATGGTATTTTGGTATGTTATGTGTAGTATTTAAAAAAATATTTGGAATTCAATTTGGTTTTATTATTTGGAATTTTAGTTTCTCTCATTTGGTATATGATTTGGTTTAGGTTGATGTTGAATTATGCAACTATAAAAATCGTTAGCTTTTTTTTTTTTTTTAATTGTTATCAAATCCTTTAGTAAAAAGAGTTAAATAATTCTAACTCGAATTAATAATCAATAACTAATAACACTAAACTTTAATGTACAGTACGGTGTGAAGTAAAGTATTGATGTGAAATATTGATGTAGAATAAATGTATAATAAGTAGTATGAAGACTTGATGAGTGTTGTGTTTGTAAATATGTGTGAAAGGAATATGCTATGTAATTTTTCTTAAGTTATGTACTACAAATACCAAGTTTAGTGAGGGTTGTTCACTATAAGTTTGAGTGTCCAAAATCCTAATAGTCCATTGTATTCTCTTGAATGTATTCTTGTATAATAAAAGCTTTCACTATATATATATATAATGTTCTCTTCCACAAACACTTAAATCTTTTTCACATACTTGTTTCATATATCTCGATCCTATAAAACCTCCTACGTGGTTATACCTACTATGTGTTCATAATTTTGGTATCAGAGCCATGGCAGTCTAAGCTTTAGCACTTTGATATCTATAGTATGCCATAATGTTATTTTCTATTATATACTTTGCATAACGAGTATGCTCTATGGTTGCCATTCTTTGATGGATCCTCCACATTAGAAATCTTGTTAAGTTTGAAAGAACTAAAGAAATGATCCATGAGGTCATAATGCTCGAAGTACCTTGAGGCTTATTTTTATGTGAGTTGTTTGCCTCGGTTTGCGTAGCTTACCTCACGATCATTTTCTTTATATTCTTAGCGCTTAAAAGTCACATGAAAACAACTTATGGATTGTTACTACCTTAAAGATTAAGAAGAAGTTTATAGCATTTTGTCTTGGTTTCTGGTTTCTATATATAAATTATGGAAAACATGTCAACTTTGTCCAAAACACCCTCTTTTCGAAAATCCACCTCTAAAAATGTAGATTATCTATATGAAATTGAACACATGAGTGATGATAGTGAAGTTACTATTACCCAACTTCCTTTGCTTAATCCTTACAAAACCTTTTCAAAACCAAATTCTATTTTCCCAAAAGTCATTAGACAAGCGTTTGTGCCTAACAAACTTACGGAGAAAGAACTTGTCCTAACTTCTCCTTTAGAAAAATTTTTGGTTCCTGCAACAGAAGCATAGCAAATGGTTCCTCTCTGTCTTAACGAAGGGATGATTCACCATTGGCGAAACCTTGGCTACACTCATCTGCATTATGGAGCAATACGCCTAGCGTTAACCCTTCATGGAAGAAAAAGCTTACCCGTAGTAGCAAGAGTCGCTCTCGTCGACACCAGATATAAAGAGTACCAACATGCTTGCATCGCAACCATCCAGACGACATTAAATGTTGGCACTATCTTCGTGACTCTTTTTCCAAACTTTGATGTGGCACTAAAAGATCCACTAATTTGTCGAAACATGTAGATCCAACTTCAGATTACCGGTTCCCCACAAATCAGAAAACCATATGCAGTGACATTACATCATCAAATAGCGTATAGTGTCCAGAATCATGCAATTGATCTAAGTCTCCCTATCGACAATGAAGACGCCTTACCCATTCAACAAGAGTTACAACACAGTCCATCATGCATCCACATTCCAAGGCAAATCCCAAGAACCGAGTTAAGTGAAGTATCAAGTAAATTATTGATGTGAAGTATGGTGTGAAGTGAAGTATGGTGTGAAGTAAAGTATTGATGTGAGTAATGGTGTAAAGTAAAGTATGTATCATAAGTGTGAAGAAAGGAATATGCCATGTAATATTCCTTAGGTAATGTACTATAAATAAGGAGTTTGGTGAGGCTTGTTCACCATAAGCTGAAGTATCTAAAATCCTAAGTCCTAAGAGTCTTTTGTATTCTCTCTTGAGTGTGTTCTTATAATAAAGCTTTCACTTTTATATATACTCTCTTCCATAAACACTTAATCTCTTTCATATATTTGTTTCATATATCTCGATCCTATAATACCTCCTACGTGGTTGTACCCACTATGTATCTGTAAATTTGGTATCAGAGCCATGGTAATCTAAGCTTTGACTCTTCGATATCTAAGAGGTAGGATGCCATAGCGTTGTTTTCTATTATATGCTTTGCATGGAAAGTATGCTCTGTGGTTGCCATTTTTGATGGATCCTCCACAACAGAAATCTTGCTAAGTTTAAATAAAAGATCTAAAGAAAAGATCTGTGAGGTTATAATGCTCGAAGTACCTTGAGGCTTTATTGTTGATGAAAATTGTTTGCCTCGGTTTGCGTAGCTAGTACCTTATGATCATTTCTTTATGTTCTTAGCACTTAATAGTCCCATGAAAACAACTTATGGATTGTTACTACTTTGAAGATTGAGAAGAAGTTATTAGCATTCTGTCTTGGTTTCTGGTCTCTTTATCTATTATGGAAAATATGTCAACTTTGTCCAAAACACCCTCTTACTGCAAATCCACCTCTTAAAAAGTAGATTATTTATATGAAATAGAGTACATGAGTGATGAGAGTAAAGTTCCTATTACCCAGCTCCCTTTGCTAAATCCTTATAAAGCATTCTCTAAGCCAAGTTCCACTTTTCCTAAAGCCATTAGACAAGTGTTTGTACCTAACAAACATACTGCTAAAAAACTCGCTCTAGCCTCTCCTGTAGAACAGTTTCTGGTCCCTGCAACAGAAGCGGAGCAAATGGTTCCTCTCTGCCTTAATGAAGGAATGATACACCATTGGCGAAGTCTTGGCTATACACACCTCCACTATGGAGCAATACGCCTAGCCTTAACCCTTCATCGTAGAAAAGGCTTACCGGTAGTGGTCGCTCTCCTCGACACCAGATACAAAGAGTACCAACATGTTTGCATCGCAACTATCCAGACGACGTTAAATGCTGGCACTATTTTCGTGACTCTTTTCCCGAACTTTAACGTGGCTTTAGAAGACCCACAAATCTGTCAGAACATGCAGATCCAACTCCAGATTCCCGTTTGCCCGGCATTCCGATCTCTTCTTTCGACTCACTTGGAAATCCTGTATACGCGTTCATGGATGACTATGGTAAAAAATTCTTTGATATTTGTGATTGTCAGAAATGTCTAGAAGACAATTCTGATGAAGAAAAAGTTCCAAGGAGAAGACGAGGACGAAAATCTTCACAACAAATTCTCAAAGAACGATACGAATTAGGAGATCCTCAGGTTGGACTTCTTGGAGAGCCAAGTAGTGGAAGATTCGATTACTATGTTTTGTATCCGAATAGCTCCACTCCAGCAACCCCATATAGGGAAGAACCACCATTGAGCTACATGTTTGGTCCTTCATCCCAGTCACCATTTCCATCAAAAGAGTTTGAAGAAAACATTATCAAACACTCGTGGAAAATCAAGAATCCAAACATAAAAAACCTTGACGGAACAGTAAAGCAAGTTAGTGCGGCCGAAGCAACTTTGAATTGGGAATCAGAAAATGTTGCAAGCCAAAACAATCTTTTGAGCGAGATCGACAAAAATGTAACCATTTTGGAACTCTCTATGCAGGAGATAACAGAAAAGATGTCTTCGCTCCACCAAGAACTCCTCCAGTTGGCTACTAGCTACTGTTTCCATAAACTCTTCTATCATGGCCCAAAAGGAATCTGAGCTAAAAAGCCTTAAAGCCCAACTAAATTCCTTACAAAATCAGCGACAAACACAACCCCTAATGCCTTATGACCTCTTTACACCTTATCCTATATATACACCATCCTACGCAGCCCAATCACAACCCCTTTCATATTCCCAAGACCCAAGTATATTTGGATCATCATCTTTCTTACCGACCTGTTTCACCCCAGAATAACCTGTCACAAAAAAGAAAAAGCATACTGAAAAACCTACATCACAAAAAACCCAAGATAAACCGTCCACATCCTAGAATCAGCCAGAGGAGAATCCATCATAGTTAACGGTGGAACATGTCAATCCAATAACTACTTTTCTCTAAAAAGTAGCAAAACATGAGGAAAGTTCCAAAAGGAAAGCAGTGATCAAAGAGATTGAAAATTCACATGATGAGGAGGCCTTTATCCCAAATTTCATGATGGCAGAACCAACTGTTGAATGGAGAGTGATGATGGGCATATATCCGAAGAGGAATACCCACATTACAGAGTTCCACTGGACTGGAATCCAAAGTTAGCTATGGAACCACACAAAGGTGTCTCTTTTAATGACATTTCTCCTTCAAAGTGGAGAGATAAGATTTTTGAGATGTATGCATGGCTAACTGAACAACTCCTCAACCCGGGAGCATCATTGTTCATGGTCATCGACAAAATGGTCCAAGTTCCAAGGCCGTCTTCGACAGTGGTGGATAAGTCTAGGTCCGTACCGACAACTTCAAATGAAGCAATCTCCCACCATAGATGCTTTGATGGGTCATATTCACAATGAATTCCTTGGCACATGGGAGCATTACATTGACCAACCAAGAAAAGAATACCTTAATATGAAGTGCTGCTCTTTCAGAAGAAAGATTTGGAGAAACATTATGAACGGATGTCGAAACAATTTTATGCACTAAATGGAATTGATGACGTCAATCTCAAACAGACGTACCTGAATTCACTTCCGGAACCACTTGGGAATGAGACATCAAGAATCATGTCATTCAAGAACATGCAACTCAACCAGATTTCGCTTGGAGAAATCTACAAGCTTTCCCTCTCAGAAATTGAAAGGCTATGCAATTCCGAGCAATTCTTCAAACAACTTCATGAACAGAAAAGCTCCTCAGAAAAGCATGTGACCGTCTGGAACTTTCCATCAAATGCAGAAAAAAGAAATGCAGCTGCTCTACAAGCTTCAAAGCAGAGAAAAAATTCAAAAAGAAATGGCAGAAGAAATATCCACAGTTCTCAGCAAAGAAGAAGTGGAAGTTCCTCAGGAAGAAAACACAAAGAGGATTCAAGAAGCCA